CTATCTTCTTTCTTTTTCAGATAAATGACTGCTCGACACATTATCCGTTGGCAACCTTTGTGTTGCTACTGGCTGGTAAATATGCCTTCAGTGTACCGCGACTAATAGCCGAACTACTGAACAACGCATTCCCAGTGGTTATGAAGAGAGAACAAAGTTCATTCGTGTCAGGGCGCTATAACGGTGAGGGATGCGCTACTGATTACCAGGCATGCATGTTTCCTTTTCTTTTTTTCCCTTTCTGAAGTTTCTTTTTAGTTATGGGAAGAAGCGAGTACGATTGCGAACCTGGTGCCTGCCTCACCCTCCTCATTCTAGCACAGATCAGTTGTGCTACTGATGAGCCATATCACTGTGAGTTTCGGCATTCTTGTGCTTTTTTTATTTTCTGTTCCACACTTGCTATTTTTAGTGTCGGAGCATTACGTGGGAACAAGTCCGAAAGTGAAGTTGCTTCCGAAATGTGCAGACGAGCACATGTTGTCGATGATTCACTGGTTTGTCATTCCTTTCAATTTTACCCGTTAACTTTTTCTTTCGACTCTCATACGCGCGCTTTCCTTCTGAATTACGTTCTGTCAGCTGACAAAGGGTGCTCCAAGGCACATTCTGCGATAATTACGGATTACTGCTGCGCCGCTCTTTCAAAGACGGCAAAAGAGGGGTGCTCCCGATTTGACAGTTCTGTTCGCTGCGGATAATGGGGCGTGTCAGCACAGCTGCGTTTGGTACGCTGCCAGCCCGTTCTCTACCTGTTGCTGGCGAAGGTAAGTGACAACAGCTGGTGGAAAACGACGGGTACAAACCATATAAATAAAATAAATGTGATACGGTCTTGTTGCATGCCAAAAAAATAAAGAAAAAGGGGTTGGCGCCGCCCAACCGCGCTGACACGCCTCATCCGCAGCGAGCGAAACTATACGGAATCTGTATGCAGGCCAGGGTTCAGCGCATTGATACCAGACAACGATTGGTGCACTGGCAGAAGTTACTGAAATCACCACCACAGTGGTAGTGATCTATAATCGAAGTATTTTCCGGTAACCATAACCTACTTTAGACCTCTCGCTTCCCCGAAGTCGTGCCATTACAACCCCCCCCCCTCTGTGAAATGAAGCAAAATAGTAAAATAAGTATTGTCCGCTTATTTA